CCCCACTCACAAAGGGTTGACTTCGCTACACTATCCCAAATTTGGTATTTCAAACTATTTCCCCCCCCCCCCCCAAACTATTAAGTTCATCACTAAACCCTCCAAACTAATAAATCTAATCGCCAACCCATCCAAACTACAAAGTTTTTGTATATAAAATGTCATTCAAAACAACTTTTAGCATGTACTTGTTTTGTTTTTTTGGCATTTTAACGTTTTGAGTTTTAGTATCTGTAAAATTATTTGTTTATTTTTGGACTTGAATCTTTTAGTAGCCATTTTTGAGTTTTCACGATACTCTGATTTTTGGACTCTAAATAGTTTTCAATATTTTTTACCCTTTTTATGCAAGTTCTTGTTATCTTAAGATGGGCATTTTCATTCACACTAACTTCATAATACAAATCATTCTACAGACAAAGAGATGTACTTCAACTGAATAAAAGTTATATGGATCAAGTATTAATTCTCGCAGCGAACACATACGTATACCTTGTGAGTATAGTTTTAACTTGTGAGTGCACCTCGTACTTATGGTAACCTGATGAGAAGCTTGCAACAAAGGGAATTTTTATCAGGTTATCGGGTTCTGGTGCGATTCCATATGGGATTGGAAATCTTCAGAGAACTAGAACTTTAAATTTGTCAGGCAACTCCCTCACAGGCTCCATACCAAATAGCATTTCAAAGCTGGAAGTTTTAGAGAGCCTGCATCTATCTATCAATAAGCTAGATGGACGCATCTTTCTCAGCTAGCCGGCCTCAACAGTTTAGGATACTTCAACGTCCCATGCAACAATTTGTCAGGTGAAATCCCTATCAAAGGCCATCTTCTAACCTTTGGGGAAAAGAGTTACATAGGCAATGCTCATCTATGTGGTAGTCCTACCAATAACAGTTGCTTCCCCACGAGAGTGCTAGAGCCAAGTGCATCCAAGAAAGAAGAAGAGGGTGATGGTGTGATCAACATGGTATGGTTTTATTGGACTTGTGGTGCAGTCTACATCTCCACATCATTGGCCTTGTTTGCGTTCTTATGCATTGACTCACGCTGTCCCGTGAATGGTTTTATCGATCGATCAATTGGTTCATCATCTTCAACGGTTCAAGGATCGTTTCGTCTCCAACTGATTCAACGGGTCAGCCAAGGTATGCTATATCAACATGTAGGGGTCAAAATCCACCCCTTAGGAATCAATGTATAAAATTGGCTAAGTATGAAAATCCTTAACAAGTTTTTCCCCTGGAATCTTTAATGGGGGTTCCCGCGAAAAGTTTAGTAAAAAAATTAAGGAAACCCGCGGAAAAACTTACCTTACAGGGCGACCCGATCCGCGGCTAGCATTAAATCTGACCCGCAAGATGATGACAAACAGCAATGGACCGAGCCGCGGGAAATGGGTCGAAGTGTTAGAACAAGGGGCTGAGCCGCGGAGAAAAGCCCATGACGTGCAGTCGACGCCGTGGAGAGAGAATCCCGAAGAATAAGGGAAGCTCCCTTATCTCGTTAGCATGAACCCTAGCCGCGAAATATGTCTATAAATATGTTTGTAAACCCTCATTGAAGGGGATCCGCCGTTTTCACAGAGAAACCATTGTAATAGCTTGACAGAAACAACAATAATAAACAATCATCTTCTCTTCTCTCATTATTTGTTTTCCGTGATTCACACATTAGAAATCTCTGTTACTCAACCCTAAAACAAATTATATTGTTCAAGTTTCGACTCCCACACTACATATACTCCGCTTTGTCCAAAAGTTATCATGTTTGGTGTTATTTGTGTTGTATTATGTTTGAAAAGGACAAGTTGAATATCGTATGATCGTCATGTATTTGAGTCTAATATTTACCACCGCGTTTACAAAGTTGGATATGGCGATAATGTATATGATTCCTCGGTAGATTCCAGTTGTAATGTGACGAAGATTTTGAACACAAGTTCCAATCAAGCATGCATCTGTTAAAACCTCCCTCACGGTTCATAAGCATAAGCTCTAGCCATGCATTTTTCTTTTACTTGCCTAACCTGGTTGCATATTCGTGTCATTGATCCCAAAATATTTGTGGTTAGAGACGGACACTAGTCACCTAAGGAACTTAGTTGAGCTAGAGCGCATAAGCAAAACAACAAAGGAACTTATAAAGACAAGGATTGATTGAATAAAATTATCGTTCATAAGAAAAGAGTCACCTAGAAGAACATGAAACTAAACCCTTTCTTCACCAACTCACAAGCATGAGTTTG